AATTATGCATTTCTTTTAAATACAACGCCATAAATCATGGAGTTTAGTGATTTCAATTATAAGCTAACAAAGTTGTAATTAGCTACTGCACGCAGCACTTTCACATCCACCCTGTGGAGGTCGGACAGAAGCCGACACATTAATGTTGTTTGTTCCCAAAACCTGTGTCATTATTATTTTCAGACTAGTGAGAATGAATTACTTCCACATTAATCTTTCAGAGGATATTTCTGCTTTCACTGTCAGTGTAAATGCATTCAGCGGAATTCTGTCAGCAGTAACAGTGTTTATAGGAGTCGTTTATACATTGTATAAAACAAAACCTACTCCTGGTTTTTAATTATTGTCTTGTTCCAAAGTCTGGATTCTCTCAGGGTGTGAATCTCCAAATGCTGCGTTTGTGTCTATTGTTCTATGTATGGTAAGTGTCCAGCAGACACCTGTTGTGTCTCTTGTACATTAAAATAAATGCGATCACACCTGATGTGGGTTCCAGTCAGAGTCAAAAATAACCACAGTGTCGGCAGACTGCAAGTTGAGGCCGAGGCCTCCAGCTCTCGTGCTCAGGAGGAAGATAAAGTACTCTGACTCTGGGTCATTGAATGTCTTCAGTAACATTCCTCTATCCTCAGCTTTCGTAGTGCCTGAGACGTAGGAGGAGGATGGAAAAGACAAGAAAAGCAGGTTCAGACAGAAAGTAAGAAACAGAGTGTTATGAAAGAAACAAGAAAAGAAAGAATGAAAATGAGAATAAAGGACAAATTCACAAACACTTGTACAAGTAGACTGTCTCACCATCCAGACGCAGATATTTGAAGTTGCGATAGGCAAAGTAATCCTCCATGATGGTCATGAGTGAGGTCATCTGACAGAAGAGCAGCACTTTGTGGTTTGTGGCTCTCAGTTTTGGAAGGATTCGATCCAACACCTCAAACTTTCCTGATGCCCGATACAGGTCAGGACTGACGGCAAGGTAGGGGGATTGGGTTACAAGGGTTATAGTTTGTGTGTGAGTGTGTGTGTGTGTGTGTGTGTGTGTGTGAGAGTGAGTGAGTGATCTTGACCCAAAGTGGAATTAGCACTTACCCCTGGACAATCCCACCAGAAAATCCTAAATGTTCTGAGAAGGATTCCTGCAAAAACAATTAAAACTTTATTTTGTAATCTAGCCAAATGCAGTCAAACACCTCAGAGTTGCTTTAATTTGAAGTTCATTATGTCAATATTCAAGTCAATCTTGTGTGAAGAGATCCTGCTTCTATGTGCATTTTAGATTTTACACTTATATACATTTTATATATATACATATATATATATATATATATATATATATATATATATATACTGACAAACAGCAGTGATCTGCTGTGATAAACAGTGCTACACTCTGTCACCCAAACATGTGCCTCTGTGCTATGTGTCACAAACTGACCTGCAACAATATAGCTCCTCAGTGTTTTTAAAGGATAGGTTCACATGAGGAATCTTAACATGATACTCACAATCCCATGTACGTTGAAAGGGTTAAGAGCTGTAATCATTCCTCCTCTCCATACTAGCTGTGAGGAGAACCTTTCCTGACGTGATTTCCAGTAACAGGGAAGAAAATCCACAGGCCTCACTTTGTTTAAAATGCCTGAGTTGGTGATTATCTTCCAAAGTCATAGTTATGCAGAATTACTTCTTTGTGTGGCCCCACTAAGTGTTTCCTTGGTGAGCCACAGGGGAGGCACAATAACAAAAAGGATACATTTTGTACTAAAACTTTGGAAGATAGCACCCTGATTTAACAGCTACTCCTGAGGCCTCATGTTAGCTTTGTTTAAACTTTAGGACTGTGGATTTTGTCCTCCTTTAACATTGGAATAGCATTAGGACAGGCAGAGCAATTACAAACACCAATAACTTTTATTGTACATTGCATGTGTGTGTAGCCTTCTGACTATAAACATTTATAGCAGTGGTTCCCATTTTTTTTCCTTAAGGACCCATTTGCTATCTAAGTGACATACATCGATTAGCCTTAACATTCTGAACACCTGGGCACCCTGGTGGTCATAATGTTCTTCAGCCCCATTTCAACAAACTGTGATGCACTGTGTGTTCTGACACCTTTCTATCAGTCCAGCAGTTTGAGCTACGTACTCCATCTGTGGATTTGACCACACGGCCCAGCCTTCCACTCCCCACCATGCATTAGATGAGGCCTTTGGCTACCCGTGGACCCTGTCTCCGGTTCACCGCTTTTCTCCTTCCCTTTGGAAGCACTTATTTGATAGGGTACTCGGCCCTCGGTGGCAGACCAGGAAACGAACTCCAAAAGAACTGCAAAGTTTTGGGAGTGCTCCTGACCCCGTTTAGCCTAGCCCACCTCATGAAATCTGGCCCTTGTCAACAGACGCCTCAAATCTTCACAGTCACTCCAATCCTCACGCTGCCCATTTTTCCTGCTTCTAACACATCAACTTTGAGGACAAAATGTTCACTTGCTGCCTGATACATCCCACCCACTGACAGGAGCCATGATAACCAGATAACCCGTGTTATTCACTTCACCTGTCAGAGGTTATAATGTTATGGCTGATTGGTGTATTTTATGGATATTTCATTTTATATTCAAAACTGTACAACAAACCCTAATAATGAACTCATTAACTGCAAAAAGTTTTTGTAAAACTGATGATTGGTGGTTTGGATGAATTTTAAGATTATTTCCTGTTTAAGGATTTTTTTATACAATTCTCTGTACAGTTTAAAAAAAATAATAATTTTGACAATCATACATACATACAAATTCAGTGTTTTGTTGTCCCTGATGCTTGGCCATTGTTCTATTAGACAATTTACTAGGGCTGTCCCCGACTAAAGACTATAGCCCCCCCCTTTGCCTTTTGAAGAACTGGAATGAAACAATGAGTTGGTTTCTGGCCTGAACAGATAAGGCTCACTCTGAGGTCAGCAGGCCTGATACTTAAGTATGTATCAGACATACTCTAGGGGCTATGACATTGGCTAATCCAGTTGGTGATAACAGCTGTCTGACTGGCTGCTTAAATCTCTCACAGTCACATGCAGTTGTGACTGAGGTGAGAGCGTTAGAGGGGGAGTCTTGCATTCTAGAGTTGCTGTTTTGTACTGATGTAAGCAGTGATTGTCCATGGAAAGAAGTAAAGAAATAACATTTTCTACTCCAACAGCTGTCTCCGGGGTTGTAAAGGAAGTTTTTTGTCCACCTGCTACTGTGGCTGGTGGATTTCAAAATCAACCAACCACTTTCTTGTTTTATCCAACAGTCTGTAACTGCATGGAAAAATTCTAAAACAAAAACTACAATATTCAAGGAATAGGCTATTAAGACTCCCCACACTTTATGTAAACAAGATTACTGAGCAATATTTTTAAAAATGGGAATAAGGTACTCTGGTGGCTGGCTCTGGCCACTGCAGATGTAACATCCACAACCTGGATGAGCTGACACATGAGAGGACCAGTACCAGTGAAATTCCACGATTCTTGTCACCCAGTTTGATGCCAAAGTAAATAGGGATGTCCTGATCACATTATTTATTTTGTTATTTTTTTGCGCTTTTATTGCCATTAATGGATAGTGACAGGAAAGGGGGAGAGAGGGGATGAAACACAGCAAAGGGCAACAGGTCGGATACAAACCCTGGCCGCTGCAGCAAGGACTCAGCCTTGGCACATGGGGGGCCAGCTCTACCAGGTGAGCTATCCTGGTGCCGCCCCGATCAAGTTGTTTTGCCACCAATCCCCATATTGAGTATCTGCTGATACTGAATCACAATCCAGTACTTGAATTTTTCCTAGATAATACGGGTGAATAGCTCTGCATTGCATTAGGAAAAATTGCCTGCATCCAAGCAGCAGTGTTTCACTGCGGGCGGGGCTGAGCTCCTGCACACACAGCACAGCAGAATGGGGAAAGAGACAGTGGAGAGAGTTGATGACGGCTGCACTGTGCATGAAAGCTTTGTTAGTAAATCCCCTGAACAGCTGCACCTATGACATTTAATGGCAGACCACTTGTAGATATATATATATATATATATATATATGCTGCCCCGTCAGGTCTGGAAGAACATTCCCGGTTCCTAAAGTATTGCAGAAAAAAACCTTTTCAGAATTTTCGCATTGACTTGGTACCAAAGTATCGGTTCCTGTGACAAGTACTAACTTGTCAGTTATCATAACCATTCATGCAAAGTTTACTATAGCACATTAAACTTTTTGTCTCATCCAGGCCGTGATTTAATTTCATTTTGTGATCAAATTAAAATTTGATGTAATGAAAAGTGACATTGACGATTGCATTGACTTTCCGAAACATGTTCCAGTGAACATGTTTTAACAAAAGGCCCCAGATGTAGTTACCTAGGCTGCCAGCAAAACCCAAATCTTGCTTATCTACCTAGTGTTCTCTGTCTTATTGCTCCAGCTGCCAAACCTCAACTAATTAGACTTTATTTAGGATGTCGAGGAGATGGATGTGGGCCGGTGCTTAATCAGTAGCATCTCTCTTGCTTATGTTTTTTTTTTTTTACAATTGGCTGCTCAAGCGGTTCACAGAGCGACTGTCCTACCTATTATTCTGGTTAAACACCCATGCTGTGCACCCGATGGCTAGTCCGACCATGACCACTGTGATGTAACACTTTACTGTTTTTCTATGTCTCCTACAATGTATGAGTTAACACTGTGCTGTGTGGGCTGTTATCATGCCCAGTGGGACCTAACGCAGTGTGGGTTTTGTGGTTTGTAGGTATGACACCGGTAAAGACGGCTTCATCGACCTGATGGAGCTTAAGCTGATGATGGAGAAGCTGGGAGCTCCACAGACCCACCTGGGCCTCAAGAACATGATCAAGGAGGTGGATGAAGACTTTGATGGCAAACTGAGCTTCAGGGAGGTGAGAGTGTGACTTTAGGCATGTCATCTATCTACTACGGCTTTTAGTGATGCTGCTACATGATTTGTCAACAGGGTTGTCTCCTGAAATCTGATTGACCAGTACCACTCCATTATCTTTTATTCTTCCACTCTGCACTGTCTTTCAGAGGCTCAGTTTTATAGCTAGAGTGAAGATACTGGTATGATTGGAACCATGTCATGCTAGCATGTTGAAAGGGGCTAAATAACGCTCCAAATTTAGTTTGGTAATGGCAAAACTGGCAAAAAATGCTTGACTGCCATTGCTAATATCACAAATTTTATTGTTATTATTATTATTATTACTATTATTATTACTGCGGTTACTGTTGTTGCTGTGGTCGCTGCTCGTTGTCCCCCATCGTTGTTGTCGTGGGCATAAAAACACACTCACTCACATTATATACCCACATAGGCAACCCCACCAAACTGTGTGTGGGAAACACTGTCATTTATGATCATTGTGTCTCATTTTTAGACTTTTATGCAACAAATAATGTTTAAATGTTAATTTTTGGGGCGGCTGTGGCTCAGAGGCAGAGCGGGGCGTCCCC